AATCATGCTAGCATTTTGCACAATGAGTAATGTTAGCCCTGCTATGGTCGTAGCATTACCCATAGACATTATATACATAAACGCCTCATTGACGACGTGCCTAGAGGGCGGCCATCTTGGATTGGACCCCAGTTCAGGCAGCTGCTGTCAGAATGAATAGGAGGCGCCTTAGATCTAATTTCAAACACATGAAAGATGCGTAATAGATAACATCACAATAATCTCCTAAATGTCACAACCCCTTAAAAAACCAAAACAAATTCTAAAATGACCTTTCAGTTAGATTAAACATATTTATTCAAATGAAAAAAGATTTAAACTGAACTCAGATTGGATGAAATATATGCAAAGATATATCTATTTTCCATTAAATATTAATATGAGAAGCACACAGTTTATTATTATATTATAAGATGTTTTACAAATATTATATATTTATATAGTACATTCTTATTCAGTATTTTAAAGGATTGTTCTTTGATAATGAGTATTATGATAGCTTGTAATGTAATTTACAAAAGAGTAAAGGTTTTAGTTTTTTTTTTTAATTAATTTTATGTTAATTTTGATTTATTTTTGTCATTGTCAAGAGTAAATTTATGTTGTGTCTAACTGAAGGCTTTTTGTTTTGCTAAATGTCTTACAAAACTCTTTTTCAAACTGTTTAAAAAAAAAAACATTTATGTGTATGTGAGCATTTGTTTTAGCCCATTTCTTTCATATTTTAGAATTTGTTTTGGTCTTTTAAGAGGTTGTGACATATAAGAGATGATTGTAATATTATCTCGTCCTTTATGTTGTTAAAATGAGATGTGAGGCAGCAGCTGTCTGAACTGTGGACCGATCCAAGATGGCGTCTAAGTATATCATGTGTTTCTGTTTGGGCAGGACATGAAGTGGAGCAGACAGTTTATCTGGTGAATGCCGAAGAGGAACCTTTCCACTTCTCCGTCCTACAGTCATCTCTTCTCTCTGAAGATCAGCAGTCCAGCCTAAGTTTGAAGCCCATGAATGGCCCAGTGATGCCCAAAAATAGGTTCCTATTTAACACTCGCCACAAAGTGTTTTTAAAGGAAAAGTCCAGTCATATTCAGAATTCAAACTTCTGAAAAAAATTTAAATATGAAATTATTGCATATTGTGTTTTTAATTAAAAGTAATTGTCATTTGAATGTGCTTTACTGGAGGCATCTATGTTTGTCAAAGAACACTACTTTCACCTACTGGTTTGTGACGTCACGGTGCGGTATCAGCTGTTGATCAAGTCCCAGTGCTGTATCTGGTCTTTTCACAACGCGCTTTTATCCAAGTCTTCATGAAAACATTCTTCCTCCAAATGTTGGCTACATGTTACGGGTTTTTTCTCTGGCCAGAAGTTCGATGGCAAATCCTCCCTCTTCAAGTTGGCAATCCAACGATGAGGATCATGAATCGGAAAGGTGAAATAACTTTTTTTTTATTTTTATCTTTACACGATGTATTCCAACATTCAGCTGCCATGCACGTGGGCATTGTCAGTTTCACTATAGCTCTGGTGAATTTCAATGGTGAAGTCCTCTGGAAATCTTCAATAATTGTTGTTGATTGCAGATGTGTCTAGTAGTTCCCATTGATTTTGCTTGCAAAGCGGGAAGAATGGCGCTAGGCTTACCGCACCGTGACGTCACTGCTGGAAGATGTTAGGAGGGAGGTGTTACTTTATTTGGGCAAAAATGGCCGCTCGATTAACGCTAAATTCATTAAATCACCCCGCATTTAATAGTTTTAGGTACAAATAATGATCCATTGGTCATTCACTGCTGACCGGACTTTTCCTTTAAAAGTGAGTAAGTACTGCTAAAGTTAATCCTCTGACATGGTCGTAATCTGCTGGGTAGGTTACCACTGTTGGTGAGCTTCACACCTTCTTCAGAGGGAAAGTTCAACTTCAGACTGAATCTGACAGTAAAGAGGAAGTTGGAACCACTCATACTGAATGTTAAGGCTGATTGTTTCATCATGAGCGCTTTAGTTCAGATTCAGGAGCAAGATGGAAACCTCAGAGAGATCTTCACAAACCAGGAAGAAACAGTAGACTTTGGAAAGGTAAGCATGCCTTCACACCACAGACAGATTATGTCTCATTACATCAGAGTTTTTAATCAACCCGTCTCTGTGTTGGTTTATAATCACAACCACAGGTGTGCATTTCAGAACAAGGCATCCATCATTTCCTGGTGTCCAATCTTTCAAGGTCCATTTTGGAAGTAAGCTTTGAGTTGACAGGCCCGAGAGAGAAACTTCAATACTTAGAGGTGAAACCACAAAGCGATGCTGTCCAGGTTGGGAAGCAGCTTCAGGCATCAATGTTCTTCTGCCCACAGAGCCTTTGCAACCTACATGATGTCAAATTAATTGTCAAGGTAAAATTAACATAAACCTACTTAATTATCCACCAGCTTTTGAATCCAGTATAGTAGTTCATTTAATGGGCTTATTTTCCTCATTTAAATTGCTCAGGAATGTGAAAATGACTTAAATATTCTTTCAGTAATATTAACAATGAGCATTGTTTCAACTCAATGTTTTTTTTACAGCCATCTTAGATTTAGCCTTTGTCTTCAGGTTGAAAGATTAGTTTTAGTCACAGTTTAGTCATTACGATATGTGATAGTTTTAGTCAGTTTTAGTCAACTAAAACTTAAAAAGGTTTTAGTTAGTTTTATGTTGCAAAAAACAGTGAACCTTTACAATGTCAAATAAATACAAGATTCTTTACCAGACTGAGAGCTCTAGCCTAGATACTACAATAGCCGGGTATAGAATGCTGCCATGCAGTTCTGCTTTGATTACTGGAATTCAAATAAACTTTATACTTTATACAAAAGTCTCTCACAAAAAGCTATGAAAATAGTGGGTCTAGTGCAACACATCATATTGGTTAATATAACAGACAGACAAGCTAACAAAATGTACAATAAAGGATTGGTTTTAGACATAAAAGGTATCTATCCCAAAGCAAACACTTCCTAATCTACTTTGAATTATGCGTTACACACAGATCAATAAAATCTTCATTGCTCCAAAAAAAGCAAAGAACAAAAAAAAATCTTCTTTCTACTTTGGCAATTTTGGCTTTATTTCAATTTCCCCCTTTGTTGAAACTGCTCAGGGGTCAAAGTAGATTTAAATTTACAGGGTTTTGAAATTTAACGAAATAAGAGAGAACCTACATAATTACCATGTAATTCCATGACAATACAGGCCTAAATTGAATCCAGGCCTAAATTGGATATGCTAACTAAAATGTTGAAATATTTAAAGAAAACAGAGAAAATGTTTAAATGACAATACAAGGAAACATTTACATCATATTTAAATAGATAGAAACAAGAACAACGAGAGAGAAATATTCAAAGATCTATTCACCTTTTTATCTGGCTCTTTATCCAAAAATAAACAGAATGCAATTAAATATTTTATTTGGATATTATTTAGGGATTCCTTTAGGTAGAAATTAAAGAATATTTAGTATCACCTCTTGTGAGCTGGAAGAAATAAAATATTGATAGTAAAGAGATTTTGTACGCTTGGCAGAGGATGATCAGCCACATAGTTTATGAAGTAGCGAGAGCAGGAATAGCCATAATGCTGGGAGCGAACCATCAGAGTGGAGCATAAAGTGCAGACTCTGAGCTACACGTTTTCAAAGCTGAATTTCTGAACAGATTAAACAATTTTCAAAATAATCATTAGTTGCAGCCCTAAACATCATATTTTAACTGAAAATAAATAAAGACAATGAGTAAAGTGTCCTTAAAATATTCTGTTCTTACTCTGTGGTAATCTAAAAAATGTTTGCTATAGTGTTAAAGGTATAGTGGAGAATTTTCGCCAATTTTTGAAAAGACCCGCCCTCTTCACTTATTAAAAAAATGTACATGCACAACCCTGTACTTGCTCCTGAGACGGAATGCCTATTAAACTGTTACTGTGCTCAAACACACCTGGATTAATTGCTTAGTCCAGTAATGAAAGATGGGAAACAAAGGAGCTTCTGAAGTTCAGAAAGTAGTGGAGCTGCACATAGAGCCCATTGTGCTCTTAGGGCAGTGGTTCCCAAAGATTTTCTTCTGGGCCCCCCTTTGGATTACAATAAGATGTCCACGCCCCCCCCCCAAAAAAAAAAAAAAAAAAAAAAAAAAAAA